GGGGGGGGGGGGGAGGGGGGCGTCTGGTGAACCTTTGTCCGTTTTGTACGGCTTTCGTAAGCTGGGACGGCCGCCCACGAGCAGCAGCTGCGGCGCAGCAGCTGTCAACAGTCCTACGCGCCATCATCATCGGCGCTACTAGGCGTCGTCACCATCGGGACGCGGGGCCTCGCACACACTTGCCGGGCAGAGGCCCGAAATTTCAACATGAGCATCACCTGGAGCTTCAACGATTGCAAGCGTCCGGGACATGATCAAGACCAACTTTAAACAAAGCGGGGAGAGCGGATTCAGCGATCCCCCGACCGGTTCCAAGCACACCATGCTGTCCTGGAAGCGGCCGAAACAACCAATAACAACACCATCAACAAGGGGCAGGGGCCTGCGGAAGATCATCACCAAGTCCGGAAACTTTTCCATTCTTCCCAAGGCCAACACTCGAGACCAAAACTGCCCGGCGGCTTTAGCCGCCACCCATTTAAAAAGAGAAAAATGCCTCCTCCGTCACTACCCGTCCTCAAGACCCACGTCTATGTTTGGTTGAACCACACGCGGGCGAGAAGAGGAGGGATGCGCTTAGCTCTCAACTGCTGTTGACTTCATCAAGAGGATCAACTTCTCAAGGAGCGAAGAAGGTGAGCCATTCCGGTGTATCTTTGCTGGCAGGGGAGCGAGGAGGGAGGGATTGGTCGCCTGTTTTTTACTTGGGTTGGCCGGAATCGAAAGGAACCCCATTCGTTGCTCTGCCGTCAGTGGGTGCGGTGTGTGGTGCTCAAATGTTAAATGTTTCTCGTCCCAGCTAAAAATGAGAACACGAGCCTGACCTTGGCGTTCGAGGGCGATGACGACAATAAGACACCTTGTTGCGGGGAAAAGATCTGTGGCTGTGGCACGGATCGGGAGAGCGGCACGTCGAAGCTCTCTAATCTACATGTGAGAATTGCCATTTATCGTCGAGGTGGACGTTCTGTCGATAGTTGAAGCACCTGCCTCGTGACGTTGACCGAATATCTTCAATCCAAGCATTTAGAGCGCTGTTGGTTTCAAGTTCATCTTGACGTGTTCTTTGTTTGGAGGCCGACACTCTGCGGTTGTGGCTAATTGTGGCGTTGACCTATGTAAGATCTTCAACACTATAATTGTTACGCGTATTAGCGCTATTCGTTGCAAATTCATTTTGGCATGTGCTGTTTGTTCGGAGGCCGACACTCCGCAGGGTGTTTTCTGCCGCCCGTTTTCTTGCGTCCCTTTCCGGCGTGTCTCTACTTTATTTCGCACCCGGCAAAGCTTTGCATGCGGGCGGAACCCTGAATCGGGGGGTCTGCTTCGACACCCAGCACGCCAGAAACTACCAATTTCCCATGGTAGACTCACTTCAAGGACGTCTCCGTGAACAGCCGTGGTTTCGTTTTTGTAGTCGTACCTGCTCTCATCTGAAAGACCAACGCGTTGAATCAACGGTCACCACGCCCAGACGGCTGCGTTACGGTACACCTAGGTGGCCTCGTCAACGAACATGGGGACCTCACCCGGGAGATCAATTTTCGGAGCAGAACAACGTGGGCGTGCGTCAGGAGATATGGTCAGGAGCTCTTCGACAGGCCCAGAGCACCGTTCCGACTCAAGACTCACCTGCTCCAGGCCGACGCGATGGAGGCACTGCTGCACGGCTGCATGACGTGGGCCCCACGTGAAGAACACTACCGGCTGCACCGGCTGCTCCTGCGAGTTATCGGATACCAACGCAAGAAGGGCACCAACCGGCAGCTTTCCTACGCCCAGACCCTGAAGAGGGTAGGGTGCCAGAGCGTGGAAGCCACTGTTCGGCATCGGCGCCTGCTGTTCGCGGGAGCATTGGCAAGGCAGCCAGACGCGCGACTCCCGAAACGGTTGATGCTTGACGAGCTGGGGGGGGGGGGGGGGGGGGGCCGGCGGGGGGGGAACCGGAACAAAACGGGGAAAAGGGCCCGAAGGAAAACCCCAAAAAGTTCCAAGGGAAAACACGGATTTACGGACCCCCCCCTTTTTTTTCGGAATCCCGGAAAAAACTTGGAGGGAAACCCCCAAAAATGGGGGGGGGGGGGGACCGGGGCAAACGGGGGGGACTGGGGGGGGCCCCCGGGGGCCCCCCTTTCCTTTAATCCATCAAAAAAAATCCAAAAAAGGTTGAAAACCCCCCGGGCCAAGGGAAAAAAAGAGGCTACCCAAAAAAAAACCCGGGAAAACCAAGGAACCGGCAACCACCCCTGGGGGGGGGGGGGGGCTTGGCCCAAAAGGAAAAAATGGGGAGGGAAAAAAGGAAACCCCAAAAGGCAAAACAAGGGGGGCGAAAAACGGGGCCGGAATAAACCCCTTGATTGAATTATCCCCCCCCCCCCCCCTGGCCCATTGCCCCAACCCCCCCCCAAAAAAAAAAGTACCTTTTCCCTGTCCCGGGGGGGCCCCCCCCCTTGTTTTTTGTACCCCCCGGTAATTTTTTTTTGGGGGCCTTTTCCCTTTCCCTTTTTCCCCCCCG